TTAACTATAAGTTTATAACCCCAAACCAGTCACAGGTTCCCTTCCTGAGTTTTTACTTAACAGCCCCAAATTAAACCTTAATACACAGTTCATATGTAATGACAACCTATGATTGTCACCTACTATTCAACAGCAATCCATACCCTAGGTTATTCTTATGTCCAAGTGAGACCAGTGTGTAACTGAAGTTGTAAGGTACCACCTGCTCTGATAAGTGTACTAAATGAAAATGCCTTACTTCCCCCATCATGCTGAAAAATCATATGGGTGGCAAAAAAAACCTTGTGAAATACTGCAATCACTGTCCTTAAAAAAAGAATAGTTTTTACAAGGATGTATTTATTTATTTAAAACTTTTATATGCTGTCACCACATGCCTCAGCATCTTGGGATGGCTCACAACACATACAATTAAAAACAATAAAACAATAACAAATTCCATAAAATATTATATAAAAACAAAAACAAAAAAGCGACTTAACAATAAAATAGTTTTTAAAATAGTTTTTAGTTTTTGTTAACAATAAAATAGTTTTTAAAATAGTTTTTAGTTTTTGTTAACAATAAAATAGTTTTTAAAATAGTTTTTACTTTTTGTTAACAATAACATAGTTTTTAAAATAGCAATTAAATAAAAAGGTTTTAACCTGGTGCCGAAAAGAATATAAACTCGGTGCCAGGTGCACCTCTCCAGGAAGCACATTCCATAAACCTGGGCGCCACCACAGAGAAGTTCCTGCTCCTGGTAGTTCTTTTTATCTCCTTTAAAGAGGGCTCCCAGAGCAAAGCCTCTCCCACAGATCTTAAGGGGCGTGAGAGCATGTAAGGGAAGAGGCGCTCCTTCAGGTGTCCTGGTCCCAAGCCGTTCAGGGCTTTATAGGTTAAAACCAACACCTTGAACTGGTCCCAGACTTCAACTGGAAGCCAGAGTAGCTGGTAGAGGACTGGAGTTATATGAGAATAACAACCGGTTCCCATCAGCAACCTGGCAGCTCTGTTCTGTACCAGCTGAAATATCTGGATCGTTTTCAAGGGCAGCCCCACGTAGAGCGCATTACAGTAATCCAACCGGGAGATTACCAGAGCATGAATCACTGTTGCTAGGCAGTGCTTGTCCAGGTAAGGGCACAGCTGGTGGATCAGTATTTACCAGTAGAAACTACGAAAATTACTAAACATTCCGGCAGTTTGCCTTAGTCATTCAGGCAACATCAGACACTGGAACTTACAATGTCAGAAACATTTGAACCAAGTTCCATATTATTTTTTTACTTGTAAGAGAAGTCCCTGGCCCACAAAGAATTTCAAGAAAAGACCATTTAGAGTCATCACAACAAGCAGCACATTTCCCCTTTTCTCCCCTTCTCTGGCAAGGAAAGCCTCATTAAACTAGAAATATCTAGTCCATGGAGGCTTAGGTTGAAAAAAAACCCCTGGAAATAACTGTATCAAAATATTTCACCAACATTTAAATATTCTTTATAATACCAAAAAGGATTACAAAAGCATAATTAAAACAAATAACAAAACAAAAAAGAAACAAAAAATACAGCAGAAAAGTAATTAGCCTCAGATTATATAAAATATCAGATGGCAGGCGTTTTGTTATTTTTAATAATAATTTTATCTTTTGAGGATGTTAGTGGCTACATGGAAAGCATCTTATTTCAATATAAACAATTAAAATCCTGCAGTTGTAAATTATGCTTCTAAATACGTAAAAAAATGTGTTTTAGGTCCCTATCAATTTATAAAGTTGGTGCACAAAATAGGAAAAGAGTTGGCAATACAATATTATTGCTTAGAGTTGCCATATCTGAAGACTTTTTAGCCACAATGATGTTCAACTTCTGGAGAAGAGAAATTACAAGAAGAAAAGCAGGATTAAAGGAAACTATAATTGAGTTTCAACTTCCTGAGCCTGGTTAAGAATGTGAACTGAGAGCCAGAATATGTCTAGTTGAAATTCTGCTTGAGGCATGAACTCATTCTGTAGCCTCAAGACAAGTTACTATGATTCAATTCAGATATCGACCCAAACTAAGGTTAAAGGACCATGCCTATGGTTTCATATAATGTCTAACTGACAAGAGACAGTTAATGACTATTGCTCCACCTCCAGAGAACACCCAGAAACAGGCAGCTGAGCAAGTGGGAAAGTAAAGCAAGCAGGCAGCTCTAAATTACAATTTGTCCATACTTTTCGAAACTCAAATTGAATTTTAGATTGTAATCTTGAAAGCAAGGAGCATCTTATTATTATTATTAATCTTCTTAAACTGCTCCAGAAGGTTTGTTTGTTTGTTTTTGCAAAGGAGCATGTTATAAACCCTGTAAATAAAGAAAGTGTCTCAGTCTCACTCCCCATTTGTAATGTGGGAATAATGTTTACCAACCTTACATTAGTATATGTGAGGTGCTTTGAACCCTCAGAAGCCCAATGTAAATACCAAGTATTAAATATATATGAATTACTAAACTGGGTAATACAGAACAATGAATAAACACTGTTAATGCAGGGAATGACAATTGTTTCTGTACAGAATAATATAACTAAAATCACTTTTAATGTGTATGCGCAGTTGGGAGGCAATGCTGATTGGTAACAGGCAGAAACATTTCATTAGTATTGGAAGCATCTTTTAAAACAGAACATAACCAACCAATGAGTGTGTCTATTTATAAGTAGAATGAACTGTTGCACACTCCAGCACTAAAGCTTCACTGGCCCTCAAAGGAGTGATGACAGAATACTGAATCTGTCTTGCTAACAGGGGTTGTAAAGTCAATTAGAGCTGGTATGGAATAGTGAGTAAGTGACTGAGCTGCAAATCAGAAAGTCCAGGTTTCACTACCATGCACTCACAGCCTTAGGCAAGCCACCCAAAGCCTCAGCCCTCCCATCTGCAATATATGGGATAATACTTAGAGAGCTGTTGCAAAGATTACAACCAAATAAAACATATGAAAAGGTCTGAAAACCTGAAAGTGTTATACAAATGTTTATTCTTACATTATGATGATGATAATCAATTATCTTAGCTGCCTATCGTTACAAATAGAAATAGACCAAGCCTCAACTGCCATGAGAACTGCAACTGAAATTACTTTACGTGGAAATGTTAATGATGGGTAATTATTATGGCATTAGATCCTAAATTTTGTGTACCCTTTAAAACCTTGAAAAAGTTTAATGGGAAAGTATCAGAGCTCAACTAACATTATTTTCAACTAGCATTCTTGTATTAAATAGCAAGTAAGTTTGAACAAATTGTTCGATCTTTTCAATAATAAAAAAACTAAATTCTTATCTGTAGAAATCTCAGTCATAAAATGTATTGTTTTGTCTGAATATTCCACATGGAATTCGAGCAGGATGCCCTTGCTTATGTCAACTTTTGGGGGTCTCTCTTAAAACATTTTAAATAGATCTTAAAATTAGCTTACATCTTAAAAATGAGTATGTCAGGTATTTATAACAACAACATCTTTCATTTACTACTGCAACATCATACATCAAAGCCTTACTGCAATTATAGTAACTCAATAATAAATTAATTTACTCAGAAATCTCACCAAGTTCAATGAAGCTTATCCACAAGTAAGTATGCACAGATTAGCAGCTGTAAACTTGCAGTTTAGCTGCAAACCTATGCACGCTCATGTCGGAGGAGCAATTGACTAAAACAGTGAGATTTATGTCTCAGTAAGCATGCATTGCATAACACTCACAATGAAGTTGCAGCATTAGGGTTGGATCCAACATCAATATTCATCAGAAGAATGAATACTTCCCGAAAGTGGTAGCTCAATGCAATGCAAAAAAAGAGCAAGATTTCCTAGAAATTGCTTTATTAATTAAAAGGAGGCTTATAGTGCAAACCTATGCATCTTACTCAGATATCTGTTCCAATGAGGGTATCTAAGTGAGTCTCAGTTCATACATTCATGAGGGAACCAGTGATGAAACAGAAAAGTAAAGGAGCAGTGCAAGACTGCACTTTCCCCATTCATTGCATACAGGCCACTTCCTATGCAAGGTGGGGCCTTCATGCACAGCTCCACTTGCTCCATGTCTATCCTATACTATTTCAAGTAGTTTACAAACAGAAAAAACAAACAGATGCTGTTTCTCACCATGTTCCATGTGGGAATAGTTGCTAATCAATTACTGTAAAAGATTTAATGTCACATAATGTCTATTTAACATCAGTGCAGCATGGCACTGGCATTAAGATCAAAGCCACAGAAGGTAAAGACAATTGAAGAGCTATTAAAGCATTTTAAATTCTGATGGGAATATTTCAAGGAGTAACTCATACAAACAGAGGCATAAGTCTACAAATGAGAAATGACTATATGACTAATTTCCTAGCAAGATCCTGTGGAGTCTATCATTCATTCCTATCATTTAAGAAACATCATTTACTCTGGCCTAATTTCAAGAAACATAAGCAACACAGAGCAATAACACATTATTAGTAAATGATAAACTTACACTCCAAAGACAAATATGGCTTATTTTGAAACTGCCAGCTGAAACACACCTCAGAAAAGAAGGTTATAAGCTGGCAAATACAGTGTTTTTGTAGCCTTTATCAATTAGCTACCTTGGGTTCCTCACAAGAGGAAAATGGCGGGATATTAATGCAATGCAATGCAATGCAATGCAATGCAATGCAATTATAATAATGTGGTGTGTGACAAACTGTATTTAGTGTAGCAGATGCAGGGACAAGGAGAGCATGGGCAGGGCCCATTCTGTCACCTACATTTATTCTACTGCAAATATTGTTGTTGGACCTAACTCCTATGCCACACCTTCATTTTGAGTGAGTAACAGTGTTAGTCTATGCATGTTTACTCAGAATTAAGCTCCACTTTGTTCAGTCAAAGGCTATTCTTGGGTAGAGGTGGATAGTCCAAAAATTAAACGCAATCCAATTGGAAAGAACAAGCAAGGTAAATTATATAAATTTACCAAACACATGCACACTGACCTTTTCCATTTATTGTTAATGTTGATGCGATGGTAGCTGTTACTGGCACTGGTAACTGTGGCACTAATGAGTGCATTCTTGGCCTACTCCCCATCCTAGCACGTTCTTCACCAGGTCCTAATAAAGCTCCAACTGGTTTTTCTGCTGCCACTTCCGGTGCTACAGAATCTTCCTGATCCTGTTCTATGCGGTCCATCTTGTCAGGACTTTCATTTTGAAAGCCATCCACAGCTGTCCGACTCTTAATAGGACTTTTGGGCACAAGTATTTTGATACCTGACTTTGAAAGGTCCATGTTTTTTCTACCAGAGAGCGGGGTGTTGTTCTTCCGAAACTTCTGGGCAGCAAACAACTGGTTTTTTGATTCAGGGTCCTTTCCAATAACTAAGGACTTGGAAGTCTTTGAAAAAGAACTATTTGTAGATCTAGAAATCTGTTTTCTTGCATTATTTGGAGATGTCCTGTTTGTCCTTGTTAATGTGCCTTCTTTTTGCTTTTCACTGTGATGTCTATTGAATTCATGTATGTATTCCTCACAATTCACAAGGTGCTGTTCAGGTTCCCATGTGTCATCCTCACTTTCATAGCCTTTCCATCGAACTAAGTATTCTGTTTTCCCCTTCTTGTTTTTTCTTTTATCAACAATTCTCTCTACCTGTTAAAAGAAAAATACAAATAGCAATGAAAATGTAAAAATATATGGTAAAGAACTTTCCAATAATGTACCCACTGACCAACCATTATTTTCCTGTTCAATAGTATCCTGCCCTTTAAAGAGCTGGTGTGGTGGTTAGAGTGCTGAACTGGGGACATAGGAGAGCCCAGTTCTAGTCCCCACTCAGCCATGAAGCTCATGGGGTAACTTTAGGCATGTCACAGAGACCCAGCCTAACCTACCTCACAGGGTTGTTTAATTTAATTTAATTTAATTTAATTTAATAAAACATTTTATCCAGTCTTTCACTAAACATCTCAAGACAGCTTACAGAATATAAAATTAGTAACAATAAAAATACAATTCATTATACAATAAATAATAATAAATCAATTATAATAAATAAAATCAGTACTAACAGAATACCACCAAAATTAATCCAATATAAGCAAAAAGAGAATGAATCAATCCTAAGAAAAATAAATAAATAAATATAACTAAAATAATTAAAATAAAATGCGACTGTTAACTTCAAGATCTAAAACTCTAATTCTTAAAATGATGGTTAAATAAAAAGGTTTTTACCTGGTGCCAAAAAGAATGTAAGCTACTAGGTAGTTGTTGTGAGGATAAAAGGAAATAAACGAAGACCATGTAAACCACTTTGGATTCCTCACAAAAATAAAAAGGCAGGATATAAATGTGATATTATTGTTGTAATAACAAAAAATGCTAGTAAGTTAATGGAATTAATTGCCAACATTAATGTTACTTCAGAGAGTTAAAAGAGCCTGAAACTTTAAAATCTTCAATTGTCTGTATATATGCATATGTACTGAAACTGATTAAAATTAAATTGCCTTGATTTTAATTTTTTGTGAGTATAGATACTGTATTCTTGTTTTCTTACATGAGATTTGAGTAAATCTACTACAGTGAATACACACAGTATCCCATATGATCAATGTATAGCAAAATACTATTATTAAATATAATTTTACACAGACTTCAGGGAAGACAATCCAAATATCCATGTATTTATCCATTCATCAATTACACCCAAAAACCACTTGTTTGAAAATCAAAAGCTTCATCATGTACACGATCCACTGCATTATGTCAGGTGGCCATTTGTTCTTCTAATATTGTAATAATCTTTTAGCTGTCAAAAGGGCACAAAAAATCCATTTACACTGACCTTGCATTAAGCTCCAAGAGACAGACAGACAATAACATGCATTTCTCTACATATTAAAGAACTTTCCATCACAAACTTATCTGAACTATTACCTCCTTCCAAAAGAAAGCAGACATTGGGCACTGTCAAATCATATGAGCAAGAGAACATTAGCTGTATTACACTTCCAACAGTCAATTGATTTAGAAAAATCCTTCCCAGTGGAGTGGGGGGGAGGGAAACGGGGACAATAGGACATTATGGCATCCAATAAAGACAGAACATCAGTCTTTGATGAATTAACCTAAGATCCATTATCCCTTCTGAAATAGATGCCAATGCAGCAGTCCACTGATTGGGCAAACAGGATATTCCAATTAATTGTTCTATTCTTGCTTAAGGCCATATGTATTATATTTCTTCACCAATAAGAAGCACTTATAAACAGGAATTGTGGGTTGCTGTAGCTGTTCAGTCTCAATCAATACTTCTAATTACAAGGCGGGCTCTGAAACTGTAAAATCGGTGGGTTCAAACCTAGATTCTAAGAGATATTTTATGTATTGCTATTCTGTCGTAACTGGCAAATGGTATTTAATGCATAAAACAGAATGGCAGAAAGTTATAAACAGCACTTAGAAGCTGTTCCTAAGTAAAAGTCAGCCTGTTCGTTCACGTCCACCAAACATTTTCTTGCCATTCTTTAAATGTGGGTTTTCCCACACAGCTAATTTCACATGCAAAAAGTATATATCAAACTAATTGATGTGAAACCTTGTGCCACACCTCTCCTATATTTATAACTGTAGAAGGCACACTATCTTTTTAATATGTCGAAAACCTAACATATTCCATATGGGGAGAGGATCCATGTCTGAAGATTCCATAACTGATGGAAACTCTAATCTTAGCAAAAAAAAGACCAAATTTAGTGCAATTCCACAAACAGGCCTGATGACAGATGATATCAGGGATAATGATTAGAAGAAAAATCCTGCTGTGATGATGTTTGATCTGTTATGTGCATTACAATGCTCCCTCATTTTTAGTCACATGTTGAACATTATTATGCCCAATAACTACTGTTCTATCACAATAAGCAACCAATATCAGAAATCACAACAATTAACAGATGACACAATCTCTTACTTTTGGTCACAGCATACCTTGGGAGTTCCTCAGACAAGTCAGGTGTCCATTACCTATACTATAGGATTATCTGCTCTATTCCTCTAAAATTGGGAAAATAAAATTTAAGCTAGAGGATTCTATCCAATGGTGGCTTTGGCTAGCAGAAATCAAATCCAGTTTCATTTTTGTCTCCTATCCTCTGCAATTTCCCTGCACTCCCTGAAAGACTGTTCTTGAGGACAGAAAGGACTGCTATAGTTCGAGGATTGGTAAAAACTGTGTCCATCCTCGCAAACAGAATCACTTTACACTAGGACAATGCCACCACTGGATAATCTACAAGCAGGTGTGGTGACTGCAGGTGGCAGGTTTGGAGGTTGTATTGCACATACCTAGTGAGTGTAGGTTAAACAACTCTTGCATAACCCTAAAACTGTGTGAGCAGCCCCATTGTGTCACCATATTACAAGTTCAGAGAACAGTTCTCAGTTTTAATTGTAAAATCTTACAAGTAAGACATAATGGTATAATTTAAGCCGCTCATTCATATTGAGGTTCCAATCAAAAGGACCCCTTTGTGCTGGTTCCTAATTTACATTTATGTAAAATATTTTTGCATCGCCCTTCATTCCATGAGGGCTCAGGATTGCAATAAAAATCCAAGCCTGTAAGACCTAAAAATACAGAAACCTATAGTTTATTTTAAAGTAAGAAATTAATTATAAAAACATTGTGCCATTAACTGTTAAAAGCTCAGCAGAACAGTACTATCTTTACCAGACAACTAAAGGACACTAATTTCTCACTTAAATACTCAGTATCTTAAGTGCATATATGCACACACTACATTATATCAAGAATGCCTGACATGACTATACATCTCTACAGGTGAACTTATGTAATATTGCTAATTTCATAGGAATAATATGAAATTAAACTAGCATGCGGTCAGGAAGGGAAGGCAATATACTAACACTGACATCTCTCACCCCTTCAAAATTCTGCCTTTTAACTTTTAAAGCAAATTGCCCGTTCTCTTTGAATGTTTATACTTACTTTGAACGCTGCATTTACTTTCTTTGAATGAATGTATTTAAAATGTTGTTTTCATACTGTGAAATTACAGTAGATATTTCAATATCTAATTATGTTTCATTGCTCTGTCCTTCCTATTCATTCAACAAGATTTCCAGCATAAGTCTCACTGAAACGGAGCTCTTACAGGATTCCCCAATAGATTGTCAGGAGCAGCACTCTATTATTCCTTCCAGAACATAGCTGAAATATGCAGCTTCTAAAGCAAACTTTCCAGAATCTTCAAGATTTCATATGCCATTCAAAATCACAGTCTCATTTCTATCAGCACAGGCTACATAACAAACCCATTACATGTCAATACATTTTTAGCAAATACAGAAATTTACCTAAAGCAAATGTTAACCAAACTGGCCTTTAATTCCTTGGATCCCTCCAAATCACTTTTTAAAAATTGGTGTTATTCTCAAATTCTTTGATACAAAGGCTGATTTTAGTGATATATTACATATTTTTGTAGGAAGCTTGGTAATCATACTGGAGTTCCTTAAGAACTCTAGCATGGATACCAGCTGAGTCTGGTTGATTTACTTTCAGTTTGGCAATAAAGTTGAGAATTTCATCTTTTGCCACTACACTGTTTGTCACTGCTATGTTTCCCACTACTATGTTCGTTTTTAACTTTTGTTCACAAAGGTAGGGATTTCTTCCTGGAATGTTTGATTTGGGTAGGTGATAAAGAAATACCTATTGTGGGAATGTCTCAACCTTGATTAGCATATCCATCTCTTATCACAAAATCATAGAATGGTAGAGTTAGAGGGAGCCAGAGGGCTACTGGGTCCAACTCCCTGCTCAGTGCAGGACTCCAAGTTAAACCATCCCTCTCAGATAGTTGTCCAGTTGAATGCCTCTAGTGTGGAAAAGTCCACAAACTCAGTAACTCATGGGTTCCATTATCATACTGCTCTAACAGTCAGGACACTTTTTCCTGGTATCTAGCCAAAATCTGCATCCTGCATTCTGGGATGACAGAGAAGAGATCCTGGCCTTCGTCTTTGTGACAGCCTTTCAAGTACTTGAACAGTACTACTGTGTTTCCCCAAAAATAAAACCAGGTCTTCTATTAATTTTTGCTCCAAAAGACACATTAGGGCTTATTTTCAGGTGATGTTTTTTCTTATGAATGTCATAAGGTACCTGCCCCGAGAGTCCTCCACGATTCCTTTCTTGTACTCGATGGAATAGCTCTTTCTTTTTACACCCATCTTGCATTTTGCATCCATACATTAAGTACATCCACTACAACACATGGCGTATTGATGTTATTCATGCATTGTGTCTGTTCTCTGATTCGTCATTCAGCAATAAGCCTTGTGTTCATCTGTTTACATAGGCATTTACTTCTTGTCCAAAGGCGCCCACTTCAGTATTTACATATACTTATAATGTATATTATCATTTATTTTAAGTATTAATGTCAATATTATTTATTTATATTTAATAATTTATTAACATTTTTATTATTTTATAATCCGTCTATCGTGCATTGCAATGGACGTACTACCGTGTTTCCCCGTCTGTCTGGCTGATGATCTTAACTGGAGCTTATTTTTAGGGTAAGGCTTATATTAAGAACATCCTGAAAAATCATGCT